TTATTCCTAACTCTCTAATTCACTGCCCAGTTATGAAGATGAGGGACAGGCAACAGCAAAAACTCCAAAAAAAAAAAAAAAAACCCAACCAAAAAGGCACGAAAAAAAACGATCCCTATGGTAGAAATTTCTATGGCACCCTTATTACTTATTTTTATGCACCGAATCCCTTTCCCTCCCACCTCCCAAGAACCAAAAAAAAAAAAAAAAAAAAAAAAAAAAAAAAAAAACCAACCAAAAAGGCACGAAAAAAAACGATCCCTATGGTAGAAATTTCTATGGCACCCTTATTACTTATTTTTATGCACCGAATCCCTTTCCCTCCCACCTCCCAAGAACCAAAAAAAAAAAAAAAACAAACAAAAAAAAAACAAACCAAAAAAAAAACAATTGATGAACAGAATTCAGTTAAAGGGAATCAAAAGGGTAGACCTTGTGGAGGCCTGCCGTCAAAGCCTAGCTGTGTCAAGTTGCACAGGAAGACACCCCTTTTCTTCCTATTACAAGCAATCAACATAATGGAACATTATGATTAATATCAGGTAGTGTTAACAGCTTTAATTAAAGAAAAAAATTATGATTGCATAAAAGCCAAATGTCAGAGTGCATAAATTTAGGCACCAAATCATTTGCAATTTTAGGTAAATGGAAGAATTCTTTACCTGTTGCTTTTCTTTCTGTTCCTCTAATCATCTCATTTTTCACAAGACAAATTTTGAGTTTTTAAAAATACTGTCGATAAATCAACTTAAACATTAGTAATGTCTGTCAGTATAAAAAGCAAAGTTTACCAGGCAAGCAAACAGGCAAACACTGTTACTTAAAGGTGCTTAAAGGTGTTACTTTGAGGAAGTTCTTTAAACTGTTTTCCCTTCAACTTCAGAGAGCAAGGAAAAAAAAAAAAATGGAACTGCTTCATGAATATCACAGGACTTCAGAAACCATCCAAACACGACTTTTTTCTGTTTGAACACAGTGTGTATCCAGCAGAAAAACATGCATGTCAGTTATCTGAGATAATAATCATCCAACTTAAGACACTGAAAACACATTTTGATCGACTTTTTGGTTCAAGCTTAAGAAGTCTTAAGGCAAAGCATTTAAAATTGTAGGAAAAGCCCTGACTGGTGCCCCTTTTAGTCCCTACCACGATGGCTGAGTTTCACACAGCAGCACAAAGCACATGTGTTCTGCACAGCAGCAAAGACTGATCTCATACTACAGAGTTTGGGGTGCTTAACTTTCACTGACTGCTCAAAATCTTAAAAGTTTCTACATTTTAACACTCCCAGGGACAAATTTTCTCCTCAGTTACGTGCACGTGGCTTTTAATTGTGATCACAAACAGCCAAGCACTTCCCCAAGGACAAAATGTGGCTCCAGGAGAATTATGACTCAGATGTCCACAGGCACACACCAATCTTTGGAACTGGCATAATGCTTTTATGTGCCTTGAGAAAAAGCTTGGGATTCCAATTTAGCTCATCCTCAAAAAAAAAAAAAAGGAGGGGGGGAAGGGGAAACTCTTGTCAATGTAAAAGGAGGGCTAAATATTTTTGTCCATTTACAACTCTTGTTTAAAGCCAACTTTGAGAACAAGGCAATTAAAAAAAAAATGTGGTTCGAATCAAGAAAGCCTATGGCTAGGAATGAGACACCTTCCTCAAAGTTTATGAATGGAAGAAAGAGAAAAACTGAATAAATATAAGTTGATTTGCTTACTTTGGTGTTCATGTTCTGAGAGAACTCCAAAATTGTATCAACTCTTGTCCACGCATCGGGATGTTCTTTTAAGTGAGTCAACACTTCCTGTGCCATTCTTTGCTAAAAGCAAATTTGATTTAAAAAAAAAAGTGTTAGCATGAGATTATTTAAGAAATTACATACTCTCAGTGAGACATTAACATGGAACACTTCTTTAAATCCTTTACCCAAGAGTTAGGCAGAGCTCAACCAGCAGCAACAAGTCCCTTAAGCCTCCTTGTGTGCCAGCTAAAGTTTATAACCAACCAAACTCCAAAAGCCACTGATGCAAGACAGGAATTACTTTCACTCTTCCATGCTCAATGAATCCAGACCAGCAGTGAGAACATCACACATTACACAGAAAATATACTAGGGACTGAAGTTTCCTCCCCTCCCACAAAGTCCCCTTGATAAAACTTCATTCAAGGGCACCCAAACTTTCTAGTTCCAGTGGAAACACCCCTATAAAGTGCCAGCTTTAAGGAGTGCTGCATCATGCTGCAAAGCTGTTGATGTAGGAATTAAGAGGTTTGATTTTGAAGAATGCAGGAGCAGAGCATTAGAGGTCTCCAATCCCTGCTTCTGAGGAATCCTTGGTGCATCTGACAGCTCACAAAACAGGAATAACACCGACTGGGGGGGGAGAAGGGAGGTGGTCATGCTAATGGTTTGCTCTTCCTTGGGACTGACATTATCAATTATTGTACAAGGTGCTGTGGTTTCAGGAACTTGCAAAACCTCATCTGAAGCAATTACACATCGGAATAGCTGGATTCATTTCAGCCACACTTTGCAAAAGCCTGGACGTCCATAAGCATTTTTTAGGGAGCCAAAATGCTGTTTGCTATTTCCAGAAGTGCAGTGTACTGACAAATCTCGCTGTAAATCAGAGCCCCTGCAAGCATCAGACACTGCCTTACCAACAAAATGAACATTTTACATCACAACTAACAGAAATCAGTTCATCCTTTCACTGCACTGTAGAGCCAATTCAACAGAATTACAAAGCAGTTAAGGCTTTGCTTTAGGATTAACTTCAGATGCTACAACTTACTACAGCCATGCAGGTTTCTAGTCTGCTCCAAGAAGACACTTGAGCTAATCATCAACTGGTATAAGAAAACAGTATTTTCAGTTAAGACAGAAACCCAATCAAGACCCAAAATCTGTATACATATAATGCAAGAAACAGACAAACTGGGTATGGGATTTACAAATTAAAATTGGAAGCCACGACAGCAAAGAGCAAAAATATCTAAAATATCTGTACAGTCCTGGCATAGCAAAAATATCTAAAATATCCGTACAATCCTGGCATCCCTACGTGGTATAAATGAGCCCAGTGGTGCCATTCCCAGTCTGACACTGACTTTGACAAGCAGGGAAGTCCCTGCAGATTTGACATGGACAAGTACCACACACACATTCTGTCTGAGACCACAAGTAGAGGAGCCATGTTGTTACAGTATGGCATCAGAGTAAAAAAAAATAAATAAATAAATCAGCACTTTTGATACAGCTTAAAGAGGGAAGGAATAGCTGCATTACTTCCAGGTTCAACCTGAAAGTGTGTTTTCATACTGGCCTCCTTTCTGCTTCTAATACTGGTGACATGTCACAGGATCATATTTCAACACCAACGAACTGCAGACACTCCATGTCCCTCTCCCAAACACTGGAAAGTTCACTCTCATACCCACTAACCCCTCCCTTTTCTGGACACCAACTCCTGCAGTTTCTGAGCAGTATAAATTTAACAGTCATGCTCAATTCAAGAACAAAGCCTCAGTGGTGTTGTCAATACCAGAAAGAAATCAGCCAATAATCCTTCTGGCCATGTGAAGATCTAACAGCTCAATGGAATTAAAGAGTCTGGGATGAGAGCAGGTAACCACCCATGAGTTGTCTGAAATCTCCTTAGTCATGTGTTGCACTAGGCTGGGGACACATTCATTCTTTTCAGGAAGTATACCCAGAAAAGCTAAGAAGAGAAAAATATTTCAAGGTTTAGGAGAGAAAATAGCTTCTTTCTTGCCTAATACAGATGAGCAGATAACAGTTTTGCAAGCAGAGATAAGATTTAAGCAGGAGGAGGAGACAGGTGAATCTGAAAGCAAGTTCAGCACAGGCCATCCAGGTTGCATTTTAAAACCTGTTTTACCCCAACATTACCCTAATCTAGCCCAGGCAAACCATTGCTAATGTCCCAATTTTAATATTTAGTTTCCTCAACTTCTATTTTTCCCTGTCACCCTTTATGGTTTGAGCTCTCAGACTGCACAGAGAACCATCTTTTCCTGCAGGAACCTTTGAACTCCCTGGAAGAGGTAAAAGCTCAGACTGACTGGAATGTCTCCACCTTTGGAAACGTACTAAAATAGCTAAACAAGTTTTCATTGAGGTGACACATGCTAGTACATGTATTTAAAATAAGTTTACATCATAACTCACTTTTGCCAGTCAGACACCACCTCCTGAATTTTTGCTTCTTATAGCAGTAATTTTCTAAACACTGGAGACTATATCCAGCTTTTTAAAGTGAAGCAACTTCTCACAATGCCAGGACAATGGCAATTTGATCATTGTCTTCAGTGTTAATCCTTTATTTTCCTTATAAACCTTCCCAACTTTTTAAACTCCGTTCAAACCAAGCAATGCTATAAACATCACTTGTTTTGTAAGGCAGTAAACAAATACATCACAAAACAAGTGCTCAGAAGTCCATACTTTTAAAGCAAAAAATACAAGCTCAGAAAAATACAGTTTTCTGCCATTTGAGCATTAAAAAAAAACTACAGCAAGTGCCTATTTGAATTTAGGACACTCAAAATGCAAATATTTCAAATCACAGCGAGGTATTTCAAAACCTGTAGGAATTCACATTAATAAGCCTTAGAAAAGCTTTTTTTTTTTCCTAAACAGATACACAAAGCAAGTATATTGCTGTTTATTCTAACAGTTGGGAGGAACAGAAAAGCATCAGCTACTTTGTCTCATTTAATTCACTTCTTATTGTTGTGCAAGACTATCTTAGTAAGAGATGCCTGACACTGAAACTCCTGATTTGTTGAGCATGAACAATTAAAATCTGCCAGAGGAGGAACTGTGCCAACAACCTTGTAGCAATACTTGCTTTCAACATTTAAGTCTCACTTCCAAAACAGTTCAAGAAATAGATAAAAGCAATACAAGATTCACTTTCAAGGCAGTATGTGCAAAGACACAAATGCACACAGTCCCTAAATTTCAACTTAATAATTCACAATCTGCACTAAGTCCAAATAGTGCAAGAACTACCTGTGCAAACAGCAGTGGGCAAAAAAAAGACCAGACACAAGAGAGGAACAAACTCTTCTCTTAAATACGTGTGACAGGCTTCTTTGTAAACACTGAGTAATAACATCACTAAGATTTTTCTGTTAAGTACAATTTTTGAGCGAAGCCAACGTTGAATTTATGGCTTCACAATCCTGTCCATGATAACAAGTCACAGGTAATTCAGACCTTCCTGAAGAACTCAGTCAGAAAAGGTGAGCTGCAAGCACAAGTGAACTTGCTACCACCTCTCAACAGCAGAAGGCAAGCTAGAAATGAGCACACACCAAACATTTCTCTAAATGTCATTTCACAACAGGAATTCAGTGACATGCCAGTCACCAGCACAGTAAATTCACTAATATGACTGATTTTTATCTGATTAATTTTTTTAACTGATTTGTTATAAGATTAAACATGGTCAATAAGAGCAGGTTCCAAGGCCACCTTACCTGTGCACCTTCTCCATGGTACAAGCAGTTCACCACATTGTCCAAGAGATTGATATCCAGTTTCTGGTTAAAATCCAGCAGCTGACGAGCTGCATGGTCTGCTAACATTGTCATAATTGCTGGCATAGATTACTGCAAAATAAATTTGAAAAAAAAATAAGGATCAATTAGTAAGAAATTATTCTCAGGTGCAGCTGCAAAGCAAGTGCTTCAACTCAGCTCATCTCACTGAAATGAGACGCTGATGTTTGCAGTAGCAGGTAGCACTGAATCCAACCCTGCTTTGACTGGGGGAACATACCAGGATAAACTGCCTTTTTTTTCCCCAAAAATTCATACATTACTGCCCCAACTCATCTCTCAGGGCTTTCAACAGGTAAAACACTTAATAAGAGCCTGATTAGTCAATGGGCTGCATTATCAGCACCGCAGAAGTTATTTCAAAGCAGGTATCAAGCCCTACCAGTCCCTAAATACCAGTTAAGTTTGCTGGTAGGAACCCCCTGGATCACTACAAGCAAACCCCACACTGACCATCTCAGCCCAATATCGAGTTCCCAAGGCCAACAGGCACATTCAGAGGAGGTCTAAAAGCTTTTAAACACTTGGGTCCGGAGCTGAAACGTGATCTACACACGCAGCAAGAAATGAGCCAGAGGGCATTTTTCAAATACTTGAGGGGGAGGAAAAAAACCCACCTTGTAAGTTAACTACATACAAGTAAAAAATGACCACTGAAACCAAGTAAGTTGACTGAAGAGACTTTAGGAACACGAAGCAAAGGGAGTGTTAAATCAGCGGGTTACTCTTTACCACACAAGAGCACTTCCAACCCAAATGGAATTCTACTGGAGGCTTCAGGTCCCCTCAAACCAGGGACACACACTCATTAACTCTTTGTCCTAGATAGAGCAACCTCAATATTATGCAAAAGGGAGTCAGGTGGGGTGTGCATGTTAAGATGCTTTATCAGCCAGAGACTGGTACGAGATAAAGATAATCGTGAAAAGCAGAAAAATTAGCCAGAAGCCATAAAATTTTGTATGGTAAATTACACTCTACCCTTTTCACGCTCACACATCCCATGTTGGAGACACCTAATCAAGTTTATTGCCCTTTTCTCACAGTGAATGTTAAGATATAATCCCACCCTCCACCTCCACAGCAGCTCTGTGCCACTCACCCCCTTTTTCAGAGCTCTGCAAAGGTACAAATCCCACATAAAACTGCTCTTTCAAACAGCCAGAAGTCTGGACAACTGCAGGATCAATGAAGAAGTTTCACTAGAGCCACGTGCATACTCAGAGAGATACAACCTGAAACTCTTCCAGAAACACACCCCACACACCCAGCCAACCCCTTCTTCAGGGTAACCCAAAGTCAGATTTGCTCTCACTAAATAACTCCATGTGCAAGTAAGAATTTGGTTTACGCTTTATGTATTTAAGCCATGCTCAAAAGCAAGGAGCAAGACAAACCTGTGCCTCAACCCCTGTAATTACTAATTAATTAAGTGAAAGTCCTACAGTATCATTCAGACAAGGAAAATCTTTTGTTTAGAAATGCATTACTTGCAAGTAGTCTCAAGCAATTTCTTTTACTTCTATATATAAAAATAGCTTCAAACCCAAATATTTTAATTGGATTTTCAAGTTAAAAAGTCAGTATTACTACATTAATTTTGAGGGCTCCATTTCAACATCAGCCAGTCTTTTTACATCTACCTGGAAAACCAGAAGGAAATGAACATCAAGCAGAAACCAAAATAAATTAAAATTAATTAACGCTCCCTCCCCCAACTCCTGTAAGTTTTCAAAATCGCAACGTTTAAGTTGGGAAACAAGAAACAGAACGGCAAGGAAGGCCGAGTTCATTGTTGATGTCATTCCTTTGAGTCAGGAGGACACTCGGAAATGTCACCTGGCAGAGGAGGGCACTGAGCAGCAGCACGGGCAGGAAAGCGCCCCAGTGGATGGGATCAGAGCAATTAATGCTCCCTCAGCCACGCGGCTCCAGGCACGCCCCTTTTTGTCCACATCTGGCCTCCAGGGCTCCAGCGGGAGCCGGGAAAGCGCTTTTCCAAACTACGCTAAACGTCCTCAGGTAGGAACCATTCATTCCGGGTCTGAGCCTCTCCCGGTGGTTTTCACGCGGCCCCGAGAGGGCAAAGGAGGAGCCGCGTGACCAGGAGAAGTCATTTCACCACATGGGAGCAGAAAGGAAATGTTTTGAATAGGGGCCCTTCGCCACTCCCAGCATTATCTTCGAAATGACCTACACCTCCTCCCCGGCAGCTGGAACACAGAAATGGCGGCTTTGTGGGCAACGCCGACTGCACCCAACTCCTCACACTGTACCCACATGGAGCTCATAATCTCTGATTTACTCTACTCCTACACTTCTCCCTCCCCCATCACGCCCGAACTCCGGAACGGGTTTAAACCTTGGATCCAAGACCCACCCCTGATCAATTCTTAATTGCCAATAAAGGGGGAAACAGAAACAAAACAGGAAAAGTTGGGGGGGAAAAAAAGAAGAAAATAAAAAAGAAAAAAAAATCTGAACTACAACCTACAACATGGCAAGAATGTGACATCTACCGAAGGTCAAAAGAACTGCATTTACAGCACTGTTTACACAGTTATCCCAACTCTCGATGACCCTGGACCTTTAACACAACAGTTTGCTTGTTGTGCTAGACCCGATTCATTTCGGCAGCACAGCAATAAGAGCAGGCATTTAACAGGAAGAAATGCTGAGTATTCAGCACGAATCCTAGAGCACCCTCAACCCAGCTATTTAAAGCTCACTGGGGGCAGCGATTAAAAAAAAAAAAACCACGCCGTGAGAGTCGCTGTGCCCCATTCCCAAGCACGCCATGCAAGCGAACTGCCCTCCTCTTCCAAGGAATCAGCCGCATCACTCGCAAATCCCACCCAGGAGGGGTGAGCGGCTCCCAAACGCATCACACTTCACACGCCAGCGACGGCAGCGAAAGCTCCTCTCCCCCTCTCGCCGCTTCACACGTGAAGCGGGAGGACGAGCCGGATTAAATCACATCTGCCCCACACCTCGGAGCGCTCCTTTCGGGCTGGAAATAACTCCCACCCACCCAGCGCGGCGGCCCTTCCCCGGCTGCCGCCGCAGCGCCGCGGAGGGCGGGCAGGGCTGCGGCTCCCGGGAAGCGGCTCCCGGGAAGCCCCTCCCGGCTCCCGGGAAAGGGCGGCGGGCCCCGGCTGGCGGCGGGGAACGAGCCCAGGCGGTGGGTCGGGCGGGCCGGGGCCCTGCGGAGCGCGGCGGCCCCGCAGCCCCTCCCTCCTCCTCCTCCTCCTCCTCCCCTGGGCTCCAGCCCTGCGCTCTATACAGGGCTCCCCACGTGATCCAGGCGGACGTTTCAATACTGCTGCACAGACACACACACACACACACAAAAAAATATTTCTGGAAACTTCCACTCCTAATAATTTACAGATTATGCCGCACGGGTTTCGCCCGTGCCCGGCCCCGGCCCGCCCGGCCCCCTCCCCACGAGGAGCATCCCCCGCTGCACCCGCGGCCGCGCTCGGCCGGGCCGGGGATGCTCGTACCCCGAACCCCATCGCGGCGCACCCCCGCCCCTCAGGGCTTCTCCACGGGGTCCATCACAGCTCTGCCGGCACACACCACGCTCTGTGCGCCTCGCACGGGCGCACACACGGCTGAGCCTCCCCAAAATCCACCCCCTCTGCCCCCTCCGCCTTCCCCACCGCGACCCACCCCCCCCCAACCCCAGCCAGCCCTCGCTTACCTAAGGGTTTCTCACAGCCTCTTCC